GATGGAAAGACTTTTTAGCAGGTACAGTGGGGTAGCTCAGGAGACTAAAAATATGATACAAAGCCTTTAGGCCTAAGTTGATTCTTCAGATCCAACCCAGGCCAGTGATGATGGACAGCTGTAGCTGTCTGCTGGCTGGTTCGAAGGTCAGATGTGTTGAATTTACTGCATTTCAAGACAGTTCCTGTCACTACCACATTTGACCCTACTTGGCCTTTTCCTGCTGGCAGTCTCTACACAGAGACTGGTTGTGCTTCTTATGGGGGCAGACTGCTATCAGTGCTCCCAAGCATTTAAAATCATGACTCAGGCCAAAAAAATCATGAGATAAAATAAAAATCAGTGCTGGGTTCTTGTTCTGCTTTCTGTTTTCTGAAACTTTGGTGTGCATCTGAGTTACGTTTTCAAGTCTTTCTACTGGCAAGAGGGCTAGAAACTGGGGGAAAAAATAGCTTTTCTTCCTTCCCACTAAAATTCTCAAACAATGACTTTAATAGCAGTGGTTTTGAGGAAAAGCTCACATAAGACATAAAAGAATGGTGGCTGGCAATACCAATGAGCAAAAGTTGTCCGATTTCATGTAGTCTTTCTTCTGTCGCTGCCAGCACTGAATCCATACACGGAGGCAAGTGTTCTTTTGGAGTGTCAGAGCTTCACTAGGAAGCAGTGCCAGGCTTTGGCCATGGATAGGCAGCCATGCAGGAGGAAGTTAGTGCTAATTTCCTCTACTAAAACATTTTTCCTGTGTCAGACTTTATAATAAAGTGTTGTATGGGTGCAATGGATCTAACAGGTATTAGCCCTGAAGTGTTAACATTAGAGCCATATTTTGACCTCTCAATAACCAGCCTGGTTTCCACAGAAGAAAATCACATAGTGCCTCTACTGAAGTCAATGGGAGCTGCACCTCAGGCCACCGGTTCCTGTAATAACAACAGTATAATTTTCTAGTGACGGGTGGGCCAGCAGAGAAGACACAACTCAAAGTTGTGCACAAACCTTAGCGGGGCAGGACATTCTGAACTGCCTAAGAAAATAGAAGGAGTTGTCTTGCTTCTGGTTATACCACAAAAGTGTTGTAAGAGGGAGCTGAAAAAGTCAGAGCTGTTAAAGTGAGAGGACAGCTGTTAAAGTCAAAATTGAGTGTAATGTTCTCAGTATTCTAAATGTGGGAGATTCAGACCAGGATTTCAGGTACCTGACCAGGTACAACTTTCATTTTTTATTTTTTTTTAAACAGAAATAGACACAGCATCTACAAAGATTTGATTGTGCTGGTAAAAGATAACCCAGTCTCTTGCATAGGAACAGCTAGTGATTCAGACTGACCTTTGCTTCATTTGCTTAGAGCCATGTAGGAGCTGGAGAAAGGTTGAATCATTTCCTTCATTTTTAGTGTGATGGTGTCTAGATGTTGGGACAGGAGGTGCTACCAGGACTGCAAAAAGCCAAATCTCAGATTAGACGCCTTGTTCTCAGGGTGCAGGTCAGCTCTATGTGTCCTAGCTTCCCCTATTTGCTGGAGAGTTAATTCTGCTGTTGCTGTACCCCTCTGTGGTTTCTTGCACATCTGTTTCCTGCCTGCTGTTGTCTAGTTGGGATTCAATGAGATCAGCTTTTCCCCTTAACCCCCTCCCACACTCCCCACAGCTCTCTCAATGCCTTTCTTCCTGAGCCTGTGGCACCCAAAGCACTTTCTGCCTCTTTTTGTCTAAAGCTGCTTATTGGCTTTGTTTGTTGTTTGCTGTAGCAATAGAGCTGCTTCATTTGAGGAGCTTTGAAGCCACCAACCCCCTTGTGCTCTCCACTTGAGGCTCCTTCTTACCATGGCAGAGAGCAGGGCCAGCCAACAGCACTCGCTGAGGCCAGGGAGGGAAAGGGAGCTGTTGTCTGCAAATGTAGCACAGGCAGACGGGTGAGGAAACCATTACAAGCCCCTGCATTGTCATATGGGGAAGGAGACAACAATATGGGTAACCCACACGATATTCTTTTATGCTGTGTGGCTGTGCAATGACTGCTTCTGCTTTGTCACAACTGCATTTGAATGAAAGAGTAAGGAAAGTTTGCATTTAGTGTT